TTTCATCTTTCCTTAAAAGTTTCTAGTCTATACAAAATTCAAGATGAAAGACTTGTGTATTGTCACTATCCCCACAATGTAATTGAGCAAAAAACAGTCCTTTTCTGCTTTTTCATCCAGCGAATTAGCCTATAGCATTGGTTGAGTAAACAATTACTTAAAGAACTTCCTGGTTAGCTCTTAAATTGGTTTTAATTGTTTCCAATCAGAGAAAGTATTATACAATATCACATAACAGCAGCTAAGAAATAAAGCTGGATATTCCTTAATTTAAAACATGTATTTACCAACTCTATAACCATTTAAAATTATTCTGTCGGTGTAGATAATATTCATTCTTACCTGAAAATTGACAATAGACTTTGTTGTTATCTTGAATTGGGAGATTTATGTGCTATAACTTCTACAATAAGCTTGTCCTAGTTAAATCTCAAATTTCCCAAAACTGAACCCTGCTCACAAATATAATGTTGCTCAACCCATGGGACAGTACTCAACCTTCCCAAAATATTAAAAATAATGCTTAACCACCCAACAGGAGGTCCATTCTTGTTTAAAAACTTTTCCTGAACCCAGCAAACCACTTTGAATCAAAAACACGAACAAGGTAACAAAATCAAGGTATTGGGACTAATTAATGCTGGCAGAATGGTCCTATTTGATCCCCCCACTTCCCTGTTCTACTTCCTATGACACAACATTTTTCTGTCTGCTTCATCTTCATCTGCTTAAGATGAAAGAAATAATTTTCAAAGAGTTACTGGTATATCCTATTCTCACACTTTAATGGTATCTTTCTTTTGTAGGCTTTATGCATTGGGATCTGACAGGGCTGAAATTTATGTGCTCCAGAACTACTGTTACATGTTACTGACTTCATTCTGAAAATATAGAAATGGGCCATCGTTAGATGCATAACAGTCTGAGTGGATGTGCCTAAAATGCTACTGTCTCGGGTTTTCTTTTCCTTTGTGTTGCTAATGAACTTCAAAGTATTGTAGCTGGTTTCCTAAATACCCATTTACATTAGAAATTTTAAAAGTTTTGTCAGAGGACATATGGTAGTTGTCGAAGTCATAGTTCTAGAGAGTTTGAGGAGGCTGAATATAAATCCTTAAGAATAAGCTTTAGAATTATTACTTCATGTTTCATTACAGTTTGTTACATCATTTGTAGTTATATCAACATATTGTAGAGCTGACAGACTTGTAGCAATTGTTTACAGTACACCCTATGTACAGATATAGCTAAGTCCAGTTTTGTTTTTTGGGGGTGGGTGGAATGAGTGTATGTGTGTCCATTGTAGTAAAAGTTCAAACTGGTAATGAATGAGTGTTTTTAATTCCTTCTTTCACACGAATTATAATATTTAGTAATGTTAAAAAGAAGACAGGATTTGGATGATGCAACTACAATGCTGAGTACAGTATAACATATTTAATCTTCTTTTGACAATTGCAATGTTTTGATCTTACTTCCCATAGCATCATTATATATCTCTTATCCAGAAGAAACAACCTGATAGATCAACATCACTTATCCATACCATATATCATGACTGTGCTGCTATATTATTGAAAAGCAGTTCCTTACTGCACTAACCTAATACTTTGTAGGGTTACATGTTGCCCAAGTCTATAATAAAAACACATAATAAAAACACAAGTGGAAGCTTACCTCCTGGAGTTTTAAGAACTGAGATTTTGGATTTATTGCTGTTTCCTCGTTGTGTTTTTAAAGCTATGCTTCTCTAGTTCTATAGGTTGTCAGAATGGGATAATTCAACTAATTGAGGGCAGCATGATGCGGTAGAAAGCCTTCAATAAGCCTTAATCCAATGTAAATGCATGTTTCCTTTTCTTTTTTAAAATTTCTAATATGAGTTAACCTTGTTTTTTCTTTTTTTGCTCTTTTGGGCTGCCTAAATAAATCATTTCATATCCGATCTGCATTCCAGTTATCATTTTCACTAGTAGCACTGCACTGACTTTGATGTGGGCTAATTAAATTTACATTTCCTGCAGAGAGTTCGCAGTGCTTAAATAAATCAGAGTTGAAGAGTTTGCTTGCTTGAAAAACATGCAGTAAATTTCTAAATCTTCATTTCATTTAGGTGATAGAATGCAACTTGAAGCAATAGGCAGGCTCCTAAAAGCATAGCTTTCTGTTCTACAGCTCCCCAAATCCTAGGAAAAGTACTGTTTTCCTGCAGTGTGATCTTATCTTGTAAACAACATTTTAGTAGTATGGGCAGCATTAAGTGAACATCCAACTCAGTGGTTAGGTAAGTAAGGCTGCTTACTTTGTCTGCTGCATTACTATTCAAGCCATGTGTACATGAAGATTCTATTGGTACATTCCTTAATAGTGACAGGGTTGGGGTTAATAGAATATTTTAAAACACTGTCATGACTTGCTGACACAGAGAAATGATGAAGTCATCAATTTTTATAATCTGTTTTAGAACATACCACTGGCTATTGCAAATCATCTCCTCCCCATATGAAAATTGGCTACCGCAGTGATGCATTGCAGGATAAAGTCAGCCTAAAATATGTGTGTTTTAAACATGGTTCTGAAAGCAGCAGGACCTGCAGCCCTGAACTCTTTTTTTGTCTCCTATTATGCAGAACATATCCTTTCATATACACAGGCAGGCAGCTTTTTCAGCCTTACTTAAATCTGCAGCCATGTTAGTGCATCACACTCAGCCTAACGTGTCTTAGCTGGGGCTCCTCCTGCAATTGGGTGTGGCTAATGGGTCTTTTTTTTTTCCACCATTGAGAAAAAAATTGGGAAGTGTATTCTCCAATTATAAATAGAGGTAGTCCTCAACTTGTGATCGCAATTGAGCCCAATGTTATTGTCGCTAAGCGAGACGGTTGTGAAGTGAATTTCCCCCCATTTTACGGCCTTTCTTGCCACAGTTGTTAAGTGAAACACTGCAGTTGTTAAGCTAATCTGGTTTCCCCATCAACTTTGCTTGTCAGAAGGTCGCAAAAGGGGATCATGTGACCCCAGGACACTGCAACTGTCATAAATACGAGTCAGTTGCTGAGTGTCTGAATTTTGATCATGGTACCATGGGAATGCTGCAACAGTCATAAGTGTGAACAATGACCATAAGTCACTTTTTTCAGTGCCATGGTAACTTTGAAGGGTCACTAAATAAATTGCTGTAAGTCAAGGCTTTACCTGTATTGCTTGATTCTTTGAGGCAAATCTGCTATGTATGTAATAATGAAAGTGAGTATATAAAACAAAATTGTCCTCACTTTCCTCCCCGCATTCTGTGGCCATATTTTAGTTGATAGATATTTTATAAGTGCTAGGAATTGTGAACTCTGGCTTTTTTTTGTATCATTGTTGCATTTATAATATATGACGTTGTATTTCTACCGTAGCTTACTGCAGTAGAATGATGTAGCACCCTTTTCTCCAAATAGGTATCCTGATAAATTGAAAATATAACACTCAGAATTTTGGGCAGATGATCAGTGCCTAGAAATTCTGGAACTTGTGGTTCTAACTTACCTTGAGGACACCAAGTTGTGATAGTGACATTTGAAACAGTGACTGATTTCTTATTATAGTAAGACAACTAATGATGATACTGTACATAGACGCCTCCAAAGCAGCGTTCATAAGTCTATTCCTTCATCTGAGTGGGTTCAACCACTAAACAGTGTTGGTATTTACTAAGAGGAATGTTCTCAATTTAGTGTTGCACCGCAGGCTCGAAACATTTCCTATAAAATCATAGTTTTATGAGAGGCACTGCTAAATTTTAGAAATGGAAACTGTTCTATGTTTTAAAACTCCTAGGTAACATTTTATAAGAGCTTATCATGAACATTTATCTAATTATTTATCATTTTATATAAAATTGTGACTTAATAACAATATTAGGATGGTGAAGTCCTGATAGTTTCAATAAGCTTTTTAATTTACTGTGGCTTATATGCTGCTCCAGTCCAGAGGGACTCCGAGTGGCTTACATTCCTTTCTTTCGGTAAGAAGATTAAAACAACAAAACAATATTGCAAAAAAGAAACACAACTTACAATAGCAAGTACAATTACAAATGGAACTCTGGCAGCTGATGAATAATACATGCCCAAATCCACCTCTCAGGTTTTTCTTTAAAGGCCAAGTTTTTATTGGCTTCCTAGTTTGGTGTAGTGGTTAAGGCATCAGTTTAGGAACTGGGAGGGTGGGAATTCTAGTCCTGTCTTAGGCGCGAATCCAGTTGGGCCAAATTGACCTTGGGCAAATCCCTTTCTTTTGCACTTTCTGAGAATTGGACATAATTGAAAGGAAGAAAGGAAAAAAAGCAATAGAATGGAACTAATCTGATTTGGAGGTAAATTATTCCATAGAAGAGTTACAGCTAAAGTATCACATTATGCTGTCTGACCCTTGTTTCCATCTACTGGGAATCTGCATCTGGAATTTTAGGAGGCACTGATGTTTAAGACACTGTTTACAATCTTCATGCTGTTATTCCTACTTCATCCATCTATATGTGTGATTATATATGCCTGTGGCTGCCTCAAGTTAAAAGGAAGTTTTACTTTTCCTTATATTTTAATAAAAAGTTTGGTACAGTACTTTCTACTTCTGCTTGCAGTTCCTGAAAAAAGGAGTGGCAGTCATTTTCCTTTGGACCACATATGTCAAAGCCAGGGTGAGATTTTTTGTGGCACTGGAAGCAGAAGGACTACAAAATAGCTGTGTCACAGCAGAAAGGATCAAAAGAGCGAGTGGTACAGAGGACTGTGTGGCAGTTGAGGGACAGTTGGTCTTCCTACTAAACATACCAAGTTCTTGACCCTACATTTTTGGAATGGAATTGAATTCACAATCCCGCCTGGTTTTGTTTTAGTATTAAAAAAGTAGAAATAATATCTAAGCCTAAAGTTTGAATTAAAGCCTGGTTGTAGATTGGAAAAATGACGCAATGTTTTCTACTTTTAATAAACATCTTGTTTATATTTTAGGCAAAGTCGTGCATCTGTCATATGTGCGGTGCCCATCTGAACAGACTTCATTCTTGCCTGTACTGTGTCTTCTTTGGCTGTTTTACAAAGAAACATATTCACGAGCACGCAAAGGCAAAGCGACACAACTTAGGTAAGTAATTATCCTGGATTCTTACAGTAAAATTATTTGTTTATAAAGGCATGAGCTTTACAATACAATACTGCAGTTATGTTGAATACATTCAGACAGGTTGTCTCTTCTGGCTAAGGAGAATATTCCATATAATCCACGCAGGAGGGTTTTTTATAAAAAAAATTAATATGGAAGTTACCCTGTAATTATGGCCATGATTAATTGAAACTAAATATGTATAAATAACCAAAGAGCAGGCTAACGGAAATAAAACTTACACAGTTTCTCATTTTTATGTTCTCTACTGTTATAAAATCTGAAATTACAGAAAATGTTGCAATTCCTGGGGATTCATGGTTGAAGACTTCATCATTTTAACAGAAAATAGGGAAATGAAACACAACTCTGATTTGAAAGGAATTTTGATACTTATTAAATGATGCGTTTTTTTGTCTGAAGTCAAGTGGCCCACAGTATATAGAAACCTTAGCTAGTTTTCAGGTTTTTTTAACGTCCACAATTTTATTTATTTGTAAAGATATGCATTTTTTTTATCGAGTTCACTTTAGAGCTTTCCCTCAAGGTTTTCTTTAACCCATCTATGATTTACATATTTTATAATTGCTGTATTTTGACTGAAATAGACATTTAGCTGTAGAATCTCCTTGTAGGTTTCTTTTTACTGTTGTGTATTTACTTTGTTAGCCTCATCTTCCTGGATTGGCAGATGCTCAGCCTGATAGGATTCAGCCAACAGTATGTCATCTTCTTATCCATGTCTATGTAAATGCCCTACTGTTTAAAGAATTATATATAATTCCTTTTATTTTTGATACCAATTTGAAAACTCTTAGAAGCCAAGAAGCCTGAATTGTTCATCCCTTAGGTTCAGATACGTGCATTCTATATTGAAGAGTAAATCCAGGATTGTTTGCAATGGCAGCCACAATACCTACTTACTGTGGTGTGGCTGCTACCACCACCACTGCCCTTTCGCTCAGTCAATTACAGGTAGTCCTCATCTTACAACAGTCAGTTTAGTGACCATTCAAAGTTACAGTCGTGCTGTAAAAAGTGACTTTTCACTACTTTTCACATGACCATTGCCGCATAATGAAAATTTAGACAATTGACAACTGATTCATATCTATGATGGTTGCAGTATCCTGGGGTCATGTGATCCCCTTGTGATAAAGAAAGTCAATGAGGAAATCAGATTCACTTAACCGGCAGCAATTCACTTAACACCCACAGCAAGTTAGGTTGTAAAATGAGGCACAATTCACTTCATAAATGTCTTGCTTAGCAATAGAAATTTTGGGCTCCATTGTGGTCATAAGTCGAGGACTACCTGTACCCTCTGACAGCAGTGGTTGCAAAACGTCACCCCAGATACAAAATCACTACAGCTCAGCTGCTTCCAGTTCATTCTCAACTGGGCACATACCAGAATGAACAAAATTTCTTCTTTGAAGCTTTTAGTGGCTCTGCTTAGCTAACAGCAGTCTCCATGGAGACAAAGAGAAATTCAAACTCCAGAGACCCAACTGCACATCATTAGCAAAAGCAGTTATATGTATATTTGCAAAATGAAATATTTGCATGTTTTGCACACAGAGGTCCAAGAAGGAAGGAGGGAGCTGAAACATTTGAGGGATTTGTCACCTTGTTTTACAGGACTTGTCACTGACAACCTGCTTTCATAGTTCATCAGCATTGGGCTCACATTTTTATATTCTGAATTGTGTTCTGTCTTTTTCCACATGGTTAATTTGGCTGGTATTGAACCTTGCAGTAAACGCTCTACATTTCCTGATCTCTGTGGTAGCTGGAGATGAACTTTGTTATAAAAAGCTCAGTTTTTCTGGCTATGGTAGCCCTTACTCCATTATCCCTTGCGTTAAGGAAGGTATTATTTATGGTGCAATTCTCAGGGCAATGACGAAAACAAATTTGTCTTCTTCAGAGATTTACCTAGCCATACAGATGAGCTGTACCTTTTCCAAACTCTATTTGAAAAGTTCTAAAAAAGGAGAAAATTGAGCTCATAAGTTGTAAATGTTATGCATTATCACTCCTTTATAGCTCCTTTGGAAAAGCAGGCCAGGTAGCTTTCTTGTCTTTCAGCAGGGCATAAACTTGCCAATAGTAAGAATCTTGAACCCTGAAGGAACTTTGCCCATATTTCAGACATTGGCATCTCTTACAATCTCAAAATCACCTGGTAGCAAATGAACCCAGGTCAAAATCCCTTTATCTGTTTTGAACAAGTGTGCAAAGGCAAGGATGCTAAATTTGGATGTGGGAAATTAAGATTCCAGTCTCTACCCAACTGTGACAGTTGTGAAATAGCACAATTTCTTACTATTTGTTCAGTGTTGTCATAACTTTGAATAATCACTGAACAAATTGTTGTTAAGTGAGCACCACTTGTAGGCTTAGTAGTGTAGGAATCCACCATTATTTTCTCTTTTAAAAAAAGCTCAATATAATATACTAGCCGTATAACATAGGTAACTCCATCTTGCAAAATCTATCTCACGGTAGACTTCAAAATCTGCAATCCAGCATCCAGATGATTTTAGAGTGTAAACTGTAGACCTTTCTGGTTAAGGAACTGAATTATGGGTACCCTCATTCCTGGCAAATAGGAGGCTGGATAAGTGAGCCCAGATTGGAATGGAAAAAGCATAAGCAGACTCTCAGTGTTGTGTCTGTTATGTGCAGGCTACCATAAGAAGCCATCTCAGTGGTTGCTTCCAGGATGTGAATTAATAAAATAGTTTAACTGCTGCTAAAGAATCCCATTCGATGCAAATTAAGCTGATTATTACTGGATGATTTGTATAAGGCCTTTATACAAATATAAAGATCATTCTGTATCACACACAGACAGAAAAATACATAAATACAAAAGGGAAAACTTGTCAGTGAACAGGGATTATGTGATTTGATCTGGAAGTGTAATAGAATCTGCTTCTGCTGCTATTTTCATATTTTTAATCAAAATCTTCATGAAAAGGATTGTGGTTTTTTGCACTAAATTTGCAAATGTCAGTTACACCATTTTTATCCTAGAGAGTTTTGGGGTAACTGACACTGATGTCTTTTGTTTATTTACTTTTAAATATTATTGCAAAATTACTTTGATTTGTAGCCAAGTTGCAGAGTAGAACATACATTTAGATCTATAAGAAATGCTCCATTTTTAACAACATTGAAGCTTTATTTTAGGGTATAACATTCAGATAATCATATTGTAAGACATTCATCCACCCATTATATTGCTATAGCAACAGTTAACTTGGATGGGTTATATAAGCAAGAACTGCATTCTATGCTATCGTTAAAACTGATGTTTTTCATTTTAAAAATCATTCCTATCTTCTCATTATATGAAGAGAAAGGGATGTATGTGTATGAAATGAAGATAAACAAACCTTCCCATTCATCTTTTACATTAATGAACAGCTTTACCTGTTAACTCTAGTGTGCATAAGTTATTTTGTTAGCAAAAGCAATTTGAAATTGGTACACACAAAGATTGTATTTTTTTAAAAAAATCAATCTGCTTTAAAGCTAAACCTCGTATTGAAGCCTAGTTATTGGGTTAACAAGTATAAGATGCTATGGGACATGGCTGTCAATCCTTGACCCTCTTCAGATCCATTAGTAAATCTACCAATTAATGACGGGAACTACTTTTATAAAAATTCCCTTATCTAATAGTTAGATTTCCAGTTTAATCTAGTGGAACTAATTATTTCAATTTCAGCAATGGAATAGAACATTTATTTGTAAAGTGTAATAAAACAGTATTAAGCAGCAATTTAACCTAAGAGTTTTGAAATCTTTGTTCTTAGTTTGGTATGACTTAGTAGGGCATCAAATTTAGTTAAATTAGAATATGGAAATGATACAAGATCAGAGTTGTATGTCTTAATTAATCTATTCTTCCAGTCACGTGTAACTCAATTAAACAAGGAAAAGAGATATATCCTCATTGTAAAGCGGTGTGTTAATCATTTTAAAATTTAGTAACTTTTAGAAGGCTTTTCTTAGTGAAAATAGATTTTCAGTTTTCTTTGTATTAAAAGATACATAGCTCATTGGCAAATTGGAGCTCCATTGATTATAAGAATACACAGGCAACACATTTTGAAACTTATGACTAGCCTTGATTTATACCTAAAATTGCATGGCTTTGAAGATCTAGCATGTGTATCATTCAGGACTATCAGAAGATTCTTGATTTAAAATTCGCTTTTAGAAATTTGAGATTGATAGTTCTCTCACATTGCTCAGAAACAGTAAAATCCACTATTTCTAACTTTCCTTAACATGATGGAATTTTTTGAGGCTTGCAGAAAAGGTATGTCCAAGCACAAAACAATTCTATAGAAGTTTATCTGCTTATTCTTGCTCTCTGCAGGCTGATGAACATAAACAGTGACAGAGAATCGATTTTTACAGGGAATGTGAAGCTGTGCCTTGGCTGCTGGGAAATATTTTCATATCATTGATTGTGTTGGAGATTCATACCTTGGAATCTGTGATAATTTAACCAGGAAGATCTTTAAAAGTTGCTGCTTGTCTGAGGCTTGGCAATAGACATATAAAAGTCATAACATTTTGTCATGTGACAGTTGTTGAAGTTGCTAATAAGAAGAGATTAATTCTTTTTTCTTAATATTTTAAAAAAATGTTTATTTTTCTCCATCCCTTCTCCTTCTGCAGCCATAGACCTTTTGTATGGGGGTATATACTGCTTTATGTGTCAAGATTACATATATGACAAAGATATGGAACAAATTGCCAAAGAAGAACAGCGGAAAGCTTGGAAGCTACAAGGTTTGGTTTTCCTTAAGTATCTTCCTGAAAGAAGTTTTCATTTCAAGTTGTACTGGCCCTTTTATTCTTGTAAAAGAAAAATAAGAAAACTTTAATGAAAGTTTTGGGGGAGAGAGAAATGTAGAGATTATTTCTCTTCAGGAGTTAAACTGAACACATCACGAAAGCATAGCTAAACGAAATTTAGGAAGAATATTTAAGTAAAATACTTTCTTCCCTTGTGATTGTGCAGAGTTATTCAGATCTTTTTGGAACATAGTAGACAAAAATTTATATTCTTCATACAAAACGCCACCCTTTCCCTAGGCAGTTACTGTGCCAGCTTAACAAAAATGTCACTTTGTTTGCACATACAGTATGTATATATGTAGATATTAACACACAAATATATGTACACACGTTTGTTTTATTATTCAGTTTTCTTTCCCTAATTCTTTTCTTTTTTAGCCTTCACCCCAACAATGATTTCTCACTACCAGTGTACAATGACAGGTAAGAAGTGTGAGCTGGCGACACATTTCACTAGCAAGCGTCCCTTTACTGATTGCCTACCATTTTCCAGCAAGAGACAGAATCTGCAATGTTTTCATATTGTGAAGAATGTATTTCATGATCTGGGAAATAATACATTCTGCAGGACCTTCCTGTAGCTGAGTTGCTGCTCCAAAATATTCCCCCTTCACAGCAATTAATTTTTTTTAAAAAAATATATCCTGTCTATCTAGAAGGAATTGCACCATTTATAGGCGGCTGTTAAAAATAGGTATGCACGTTGCCATTGCATTGTTCATCATTCTCAACTGGCCTTGTTAAATCTTATTTTCAAAGTAGCTCAATCAAAGGAAGAGAGGGAGGGATAATGGATAGTTTTAAGAACAAAATACTTGGCAAAGTATCATTAAACTTTCTCTACATGACAGTCAAGGTAACCCCTTATCAATGCCAAATTGTGCTTATTAAATCAGAAGCAAAACAGCTCTTTTGCTGAAAATTGGCAGTGATAACCTCCAATACTTGAGAGTGAACCCTCAGTTTGCTATATATGTTTCTCTAGTAAATTAAAGGAAGCCTTTTCAACCTGCAGCTGTATTGATGGTTGGGAGGTCTGTTTTAGAGCTGACACATAGCTAAAGTCGAAAGAAACCTTTTTCTTTCTCATTAAAATAAATAGTTGATAATTATGTAAGTCCTTGTCCTGTAAATATTTGTCCATGTATTTAACAATGTGTCTTTATTGTTTGCTTCTTATTTACAGAATCTTGTTTCTGCCATTAGCACTAATCTAAACAAACATGTACACAAATTCATCTTGATATGCCATGTCTAGTACACACTCTGCATAGTGCATGTAATTCTCAAGATCGTCTTTAATCCACCCCTCTGGTTGATTTATGCTAAGTCCTTCCCTTCGTGCCAATTGTTTCTGCATTCTAGTTTTATAAGATTTCAAAAAGTTAAAACACTGCTCCTTTGAAAGAGCTGATGGGTTTCCTGTGAAAGCTCAATTTTTGAAAAGTTTTGCTAAAGACCCTCGCTAGATCTTTTTATCTGTTGCGGCAAAAATGCTTCATTCATCTTTACAAATTAAGACTTCATATTGTATTTGTTTATAGTTACTCCATCCGATATTACATGGAAATCTACTTTAGCTTTATGTCCTGTAAAGTATATTTTCCTTTTGGTGGTTAGAATATTAGCTTAGTAGTAATAGTGCAGGAAATTCTTGTTACTTGAGGTGAAGAGTTATCCCCCCTCTTTGTTTGGGGTGCGTGTGAGATTGTAGAATATCATTTATAAGATCATGTATCTGTAATTTGCATACAATAAATGCCCAACAGGTATCATTTTATTGATTTGTTTTACTAACATCTCTGATTGTAACAATTAGACTCAGAAAGCCACCAAGATGACCCATTTCAGCCCTTTCTTCAAATAGTTATCTGTTCCCAGCAAATTCATATCCAGAGTGTACATGCCACACACATACCTGTATACATGTAGATATACACACATATTCTCGTAGACAGATAACAATCATTTGTTTTTCAGCAACACATTGTTAACTAAAACTTACAGCCAGGATCCAAAGAGCTGCTTATACTCAGTGGATATGTACAGTAATTCCTCAGTAGAATAGCTACCTCTCCTTTCATATTCTCCTTTGAAACTCTTCACTCTTAAAAACAGACTTGCCAGACTCAGGAGCTATTCTTTCAGGCAGATAAGCCTCAGCAGTCTTACAGAATTAATTGCAAAGTTCTTTGGCTCTCAGCTTATATAATTTATGGTCCAGATTGCAGAGACAGACTGAGGGGGATATTAGTTTTTACATACTAAGGAAATGGCTTGAATATCACCCACATTGTATTGGTTCTGTACATCAGCTTTTCAAAATAACACATAGCTGCCTAATGAATTGGATTATTTATTTTTGCTGATGTCATCATATTTTAAAAACATCTCTACGCAAAGGTCATGCTTCAGGGGTGGTTTCACTGACAGCATAGTTGTCTTAATTCAAAAGGACAACCTGCTGTTGTGTTTTTTAATTTAAAAGTATTTTGATCCACGGCTAGGAATAAGAAAAGGAGAGGAAACTGTTACTTTAAACATGTTTAAAATGCCAGTAACAGTCCAGTCAATAGGTCTTTACCATACATTTGTGGGAACATACTTAGAAGGTCAGAACTGTAGAGGAAATATATAGGGAAAGCTATTTAATGAATGGTGCAGTTTGCATTCCAAAATATCCTTATAGCTACAAGCAGTCTTCTGAAATACAGTCCTATATTTCTTTTTATTATCCAGGTATTGGAGAGAAGTATTCAACTTGGGAGCCAACCAAACGAGAGTTAGAGCTGCTTCGACATAACCCCAAGCGACGAAAAATAACCACAAACTGTACCATAGGTAAGGGAGAGAATTGCATTCCTCACTTAATTCTACAATCATCTGCAGAATTACAGGTAGTCCTCGCTTATCAACCATTCTTTTGGGGACTGTTTGAGGTTATGGTGCTGCTAAAAAATAACTTTACAGACTATATATGACCTTTGCAGCATCTCTTAGTCACATGATTGCCATTACAATCAATGTGCTTTGGACTGTGCCTGATGTATTTCTTTTTTTTTTTTTCTCCTTTGCAGAGCAAGAAAATAGTTGAGAGAAAGGGATTGCAAGAGAGTAAGCTGTTTGCTCTTCTGCCCATCAAAAGCAATGTGATCATACTGGCGGCCCAGGGTTGGGAGCCAGGGGTGTACTATAAAAGCTTGCAGTACTCTCTCGAAACCTCTTTCTCTCCAATCTCTCCACTCTGAAGAGGGGTGGGAAGCAAGAGGTTTCTGTAATCTCCTTTGCCTGACCTTCCTGTGTGGAGCAGAGAGATTGAAGAGGGATTTCAAAGACTATGGCGCATTGCATTGCATAGCTCTTGATGTGTACAAGAGAGTAAATACACAACAGCTTTCTAAAACAAAGGAGAATGGTTAGGAGGCAAACACAGGCCCAAGGTATGAAACTGAGTAGTCCTACCTGTTTCCTTCCAGAAACCACAGTCCTCACCATGATATTTCCAACTTAGTGGCAGAACTGTGAATCCCAGTTAGGGTTATTAAGCAAGGACTAGTCATGCTTCATTAGTCTTTTATATATTGATTTCCCATTTATTGCACTTCGACTTCCCTATATCAGAATATTGATAAAGTCAATCTCCATGTGAAGTTTTCAAAGTTGGAGGCTTGGATAGTGTTAATACTTGGAAAGGAGCCAATTTTGTCTTTTTTACTTTGGTGGTATTTACCTATTTGTCTCTTTCCTCTCCCCTAGTTTATGATCCTCTTATACTCTTTCCAGATGATTTATCTTTTATTCTTTCATCTTTTATTTGGTCTGATATATTTTAGTTGCTCAGGTGGTTTGTTGTTACTTTATCAATGTATTCTCCCCCCCCCCAAAAAAAAACTGAAAAACAGGCAAATTTCCATCCTTCCTTCCTTCCCTCCCTCCCTGTTTCCTGCCTTTTAATTTCTTTTTTTCAGATAGTTGCTCCATCCATCTAATACCTAATTATAAGAAAAACTCAAGGCTTCCCTTATATTTCATCCAATTTCTCTCTTGTGTTGCTGTTCCTATTTTTCTGCATAAATCCCTTGTGGGCAGGGTGAGTCTTAACTCTTTCTGGGTGAAGCTGTTGTTGGCATTATATATTTTCAAACTACAGTAAAAAGGTATACATTTCTCATGTTTTTGCAATTTTGGAATCCAGGTACCATAAAGGTACTATAGCCTTGGAGTTGGGTAGATATCAGTTCTGAAGAACTGAATATTTAGAAATGTCTAGAAAACAAATGTTAAACTCAATCTCTTGGAAAAGAAGCCATGTCTGTTGCTAAAAAGGATGGAAAGTTGGTGGAAATGATTCATTTCATATACTACTACTGCTACTACCTAAGGAAACTTAGGGCAGAGTTCTCTACAGAAAGTTCCACTATTGTAAAGAGAATCCAGCCATGTGTCAAGTCAATAGCGCTGGACAAGATTGTATTTTGATAAATTGAAAGTCTGAGTAGGATCTCTGAACAATGAAACCACTTTGCTTGCTTGTTCTGCTGGCTGTTTTGACTTTTGTTGAAAGGTTTCTAGCTTTGCTTCAAATAGAAGTCCCTTCACTCGGGAATGTGTGCTGAGGTGAGGAATCCAGAATGAAAATAATAAGAGAAATAAAAATTCTTCATTCTTCTGTATGCAAAATATTTAATCATTTGTAGTATCTTTATGCCAGTTACACATTTTGCTTGAAGGAAACTTAGAGTTTTATCAGTAAATATGGTTTGCATGGATTTTTATTTATTAGGAATCAAGCAAGCATACTCGGGTAACTTGCCTGTATTTTCACTCTCCTCTGTGAGCAATTAAACTGCCCAGGATACCCCATCTTTGGTGACTATCTACCCCTAAAAACTGTTTAACTTTCCCCCCACCCATTGGTATCTGTGTTTCTTACTTGAATTCATTCGGGAATACACATCAGCAACATAGCTCCATCAACATCCTTAGAAGTAACTGGGTTTCCTTTAAAACTGGTTGAATATTTCCCAGCAATACAGACATTTAATAATAATAAACGTAAGCCTTTTAACATTAATCCTTTAGAGTTGTTTGAGAATCTCAATAAACACTTCGTTTGTTTGTTTGGGGTCCATAGGCATGAAAGATCAAGTAGATTGTATATACCTATATTTATTTTTTGAAAAATGATTACATGGTTAGATATACAGGTAGTCCTCGACTTATAACAGTTCATGTAGTGACCATTCAAAGTTACAACAGCACTGAAAATTGACTTAAGACCGTTGCAGCATCCCCATGGTCACGTGATCAAAATTCAGGCTCTTGGCAACTGACTCATATTTATGACGGTTGCCGTGTCCCATGGTCACGTGGTCCCCTTTTGCGACCTTCTGACAAGCAATAACACTGTGTTACTAATTTAAGAGCTGCTGTGATTCCCTTACAGATGTGGCAAGGAAGGTCATAAAACAGAGCAAAAGTCATTCAGCGATTGTCTCACTTAGCCATAGACATTTTGGGCTCAGTTGTGGTTGTAAATTGAGGATTACCTGTAAGAAGATATTTTAGCCAAATTTATAATCCTGTCTTACGTAAAGGTAGCACATTGTAGCCTAGGCTATTTACCCTGTGGGAAAGGCTCAGGAGGCAGAATAGGAACGCGTAGATGTCAAATAGAATTAAGCAGGTCATGGGGTTTTCTAGAGGGTCAGCTAATATACTTAAATGGTCTGACATTAGGAGTGAATAGAAAGTTGGCAAAAGTTTGTTGATAAACCCAACTTTTTCAGGATAGTGAAAACTTAAATCGGATTTTGAAGAGCTTCACAAGAATCTCCCCAAACTGGGTGAATGGGCAGCAAAATGGCAAATGCAGTTCAATGTAAGTAAGTTTAAAGTGATGCACATTGGGGCAAAAACGTTACTTTCACACATAATCAAGGGGCTAATTCAACTTCCTAATCAGCAGAGGGATTTTGGGATCATGGCAGGCGGGAACGTATTGTTCCCACATACAGTGGCTGTGAAAAGGCCCCTCTTCCCTTAGAAATTTATTATGGATATTCGAATAACCTTGTTATATATTCTGGAAGATTTGTGGTGTGATCACTTGGAATATGTGCTGTTCTGACATACCTTCAGATCAGATTTGTGGAAATGGGAAACGAACAGTACAAATACTGGGAGTCTGGTACAATTTCCTTATAAAAAAATAAACTTCAGCCAAGAGCATTTTAATTGAGAAGAGTGATGAGAGATTGATGTTCCTGGGAAGAGAGAGAGAGAAAGGTATTTCTTTGGTAAGACTTTAATGCAATGAACTAGAGAAATGGGGAATTCTGGAGCAAAAAAAGTATTTTGTAAAGTGTATATTGTTGTAAACTGTCATAGCACCCTGATAATCATCTTAAATTAAGCTGAATACATAGACAAATAATCCACATCATCTATTATTTTTTTGAGGCCTATTTACCACAAAAGCTGTTAATAATATACTTTGTATATTGCAGTGTATATAAAAAGATGCATACTGACTTCCACTCAATATAGCTAATCTGCAAACTTTTAAAACAGGTTCTGCATATAACGCTCTGAATAACTTCTGGCTTCTAATTCAGGACATTATAGTTCTGCTTCGTCATATCAATCTTATTCAGAATCAGAAGCCTGGTAATGTTTTAAGTAGATTAATTTCGAATCTTTTCTAATTAAAAGGGAAGAGAAAAAAAAAATCCGAGTTCATTCTTCCTATTGTGCTGTATCTTATTCATGTGATGTAAATGAGCACATCAGATTAATTTCAGATACCAGGGATGTAAGCATGGCGTTGTGTATGTGTGTTTTTTCCTTTCCTTGCACAGCTTGTATTTTGTTACCGTTATAGTCTTCCTGAACAGCCTTGAGGTATTAGCTAGAGAACAGTCTGCTTCTGATTAGCATATGAAGTTACTTTGTGGCCGAAGACTATTGTTTTCACAATAGGCAGAATTAGACTTCCAAAGTATAGGAGTAATTAGCTAAAGCCACCTGGGATTCTCATTTGTTACATTGCAAAAAAAATAAAAATGAAAGAAAAAATGAAAGGAGAGGAATAACCTCTTTTTTTAAAAAAATAAATAAAATGAAATGGAAGGGGAAGTAAAAGGAGGAATAGAAGAGATGCCTCTGACAATAGAAACAGAAACAGTGGCAGGTGCCTCTTGCAGCTGTGTGACATTTGGCAGCATGACCTGGGGTAGGAAAACATGAGTGGAATAAATATGGTAATAGTTCTTTAGCCTAAGAGTGGCATCGAGAAGGTTTTGCATGTGGAAAAGTAATTAAGCAATTCTCTACACAACATCCAGAAACATGGCTTGATCCTTCAATATTATGTAAACTGAAGCATGAGTGTCTGAGCACAAGGACAGAGGTGATGGGAGGATGTTGAAAATTGCATGAATGAATACTTGAATGACTACATTTAGACTAGCCGGTTGGTGAACTGAGCCAAAAAAAAAAACACCCCAGCACTGGCTTACTTTCAACTTGAGAAAGCAAGGGTAGGTCAAAATGTAGTGGTCTCTAAAAGCCCATACTTAAAAAGGGTTGTCTATTAATTATGATGAACATAATTCAGAATTAGTATTCTGTCTATATGACACAGAAGCTAAATAAAACATATAGCCTCTCTGCGGGTGAAAAATGGATACAGATCATGCTAAACAAACTTCTTTCTAATTGAATATCAATTAACTCTTGTTTTCAGTTTACTGAGATCAGTATGGTTAAAAAAAATGTATCTGCAAGTAGATTGTCCCCAGCATAACTGGCTTGTATGGAAACAATCTGAACCCCCTATC